AGTTACCAGCTGTGATCAAACATACTTTTATTTGCTTCTTTGTATATCTAGGTTATATTATTGAAATGGATAGATCTCTTACTATTCCAACGGCAAACATGTATGAATCTGACCAATCATATTTCTATTGTTGAAAAACCCTATATATAATACCAGGTATTTATCTTTTATCTCAGTAGTGCTCGGATGAGTGTTACACATTTGGAACTTCAGTACACAAAGGATGGTGCTTACAATGACGCCTCATACACATACAAAATGTCTATATTGAAAATTGCTTTTTACTATTGCCAACTTTATATATTTTGCAGCAGGAAACAAAATAATTCTAAATGTACATAAGTTTCTGTGTCATTCCTTCCCGACAGACGGATGATAATTTTCTGAATTTGTTTCCTAGCTTGCATAAATAGCAGTTGCATTTTTTTCAATGCTGAACTTAATAAAAGCTCAGACAGAGGACAAGATATGTAACATTTCATAATAACTGCTGAAATTCTATAACTTGAGTGCAGACAGGGCTGGTGAAGAAAGGAGAGAGGATCTAGCATCACAAGTCCTGGTGCAGCATTCCAAGAATGGAGGACCAGCGACCCAATGTGGCAAAGCCAATTGTTGCACCCGGGGCCACAGAGGAAATTCTGGATGCTTGGCTATTACAAAGGATTTTTGAAAGGCTCTTTATTTTTGTAAACTGGATTCAGAATCAACCACTGAGCACCTACTGTGGTCTAGATAAATTTATATACCTGTTACTTCAACATCTTTTGTTTTTAGGTTGACATACCTGATACATTGGTTCAGGGGAAAATTTGCAAGCATCGATAGTTTTGATATGCTGTGCCCTTGAGAACTGAAATAACAGACAATAACCTTGAGTTGTTGTTGCTGTTTAATCTGACTAGTTATTGATAACATTAATATAGGCTGAGCCAACACTTTAAACATTTTAGACAACAGGGGAGAAATATCACTACTCAAAAAACCCCAACCTTCGTATATTTTATATTTCATAAAGCAGATTTTGCTGGGTTAGTACTTTTGTTTTAATGTACTTTCAACTAGTTTTCCTAAGAATGGAAGATTGGGAGGCCGAGGCAGGCAGATCTTTTGAGGCCAGGAGTTCGAGACCAGCCTGGCCAACGTGGTGAAACTCCTTCTCTACTAAAAATACAAAAATTAGCTGGGTGTGGTGGCACATGCCTGTAATCCCAACTACTGGGAAGACTGAGGCAGGAGAATCAATTGAACCTGGGAGGTGGAGGTTGCAGTGAGCCGAGACCATGCCACTGCACTCTAGTCTGGGCGACAGAGCAAGACTCTGTTTCACAAAAAAAAAAAAAAAAAAAAAGAAAGAAAGAAAGAAAAAGAAGAATCAAAGAAAACAAACTGCTATGCTGTAAGTCAAAGGAAATAACGTCATTAATGTGGAGGATGCCCGTCCCCTGACATAGTTCTCTTAGAAGCCTGAATAGATTTTCTTTCTGAACAATCCCATCCTCCAGCAATTCAATACTTCAGGGCTAATAATCTTAGTGTCCTATTACATTTTTTATTGATTAAAATTTATTAAAGGCTTCACAAGTGTGCACTTCTATCTGTGTCAACATGTGATTTGTCCTGAAACATCAGATGTACTGTGAAGTTTATTTCCTTTGAAATTCATTTCAATGGCTTATTATTAAATGAAGCCGTGGTTCCAATGGGACATCAAGAGATCAAGCCAACCTGAAATTACAAATGAACAAACACACGAATGACCAGTCTAGTATTTTTCCAAATTATCAAATGGTGCAAAACCTGACTTTAAGCAAAATCATGTAAGTGTGACTTTCTTCTTCTTTGTGCTTACGATTCTCCTGCACAGTGTGGTTACTCTGCACACAGTTCAGGACAGTCTTAAATCTGGGGAGGAGACAGTCTCATCTCAGGCTTTCCAGAGGCTAGGGGGTGTGGTCCTCATCAACCCTCTTGAACTGTTTTGTTTTCTGATAAACGCTGAACAAGTGGAACAAATATTTTACTCTCTTAGCCTAGATAGGTATTTTACTTCTAGGACATATTATCTTCAAACATGAGAGATGTTGGAGATAGTATTGAAGAGAGATATCAATGTTCAGCAATATCAAAATCTAGTTAATTTGCTGAATATAAATTACTTGGCATTTAAATGCTACATTGATTTAAATGGATAACTGTGTATTATAAACTCACAAATAGCATCTCTTCAATATTTAATTATTAGAAAGCATCTCAATATTTTATAACTCTTCAGCTACTAGTCAAACACATCATAAAAACAGATTGGAAGAAGAAATATTTGGGGATTTGATATACGTCTACAGTGACAGCTATAATAATGGGGACAACAGTTAACATAGGGTACTCATGCATGCTATGCTGTTTATATCACATGTGTTAGCTCAGATTTGCAAACTTTTCTTGTAAAGGGTCCAGTAATAAATGTATTCTCCAGTTTAGTGGGACATATAGTCTCTGTCTCCCAACTACTCAACTCTACCCTTACAGAGCAAAAGTAGTCATAAATGGATAAGCATGGGCTGTGTCCTAATAAAACTTAGTTTAAGGTCACTGAAGTGTGAATTTCATATAGTTTTTTTTCTCTTTCTCTCTTTCTTGGACTTGCTTTGTCACCCAGGCTGGAGTGCATTGGGGAGATCACGGCTTACTGTAGCTTTACATTCCCGGGCTCAAGCCATCCTCTCACCCTAGTCTCCAGAGTAGCTAGGGGGCATGTACCACCATACCCAGATAATTTTTAAATTTTTTTGTAAAGACGGAGAGGGGTGGGTGGTCTCCCTATGTTGCCCAGGCTGGTCTTGAACTCCTAGCCTCAAGATCCTCCCGCTTGGACCTCCCAAAGTGCTGGCATTACAGATGTGAGCCACCATGCCCAACCTGTCACACATTATTCTTTAAAATTTTTTAAAAAATAATTTAAAAACAGAAATAATCATTCTTAGCTCATGGTCGTAAAAAAAAAAAAAAAAAAAAAAGGCAGTCTTCCCACCTGCTTCCCTTCTTCCCCACCTCCCCTCCCCGCCCCACACACAAAAGATGATTTGGCCCTAGTGCCTTAATTTGCTGACATCCGCATTATCTCACTGGGTTAATAGGGCTTTTCTAAATGATCAGATATACTGTGATTATATTGTCAAGTGAATGGGAAAGAGTTTTCCCGCTAGCCTTGTTTCCCACCCTACTGCCTCATCACTTTCTGCCACCCTGCTGCCACTGAGACTGATGGGGTTTTAGTCAATTGTTTCTGAGGTTAAAAGCAGGCTCTGCATGTCTAGACTCTAGACATATCAATTTAAGAACTGCTATCAATTATAAGGATAGGCAACAATCTTACGGGTTTGAGCGCTGGAGTGTCCTGATTGGGTTTGGTCGTTTTTACAGATGAAGCGCCGTTGATCAAGAGTGGCAAAGAGACAGAGCAACAAGTTGCTGCAGTAATCCGGGGATAAAGGAAGGTGATCTGGACTAGGCTGGTAGAAACAGGGGACTAAGACAGGCTGTTTATAGGATGCATATTTAGGATTGGGTGCTTGCTTGAATGAAGATTGATTAGCTGTTTTAAATACCTCTCACAGGATAAAATAAATTTATTTATTTTTATTTATTTATTTATTTTGAGACAGAGTCTCGCTCTGTTGCCCAGGCTGGAGTGCAGCGGTGCAATCTCGGCTCACTGCAACCTCCACCTCCTGGGTTCAAGCGATTCTCCTGCCTCAGCCTCCCAAGTAGCTGGGACTACAGGTGTGTGCCACCACGCCCAGCTAATTTTCGTATTTTTAGTAGAGACGGGGTTTCACTGTGTTGACCAGGCTGGTCTCGAACTCCTGACCTCGTGATCTACCCGCCTCGGCCTCCCAAAGTGCTGGGATTACACACGTGAGCCACCACACCCGGCCTGAAATTTTTTTTTATTTTTTTAAGAAATTGATTTTTTAAATCGTTTTTAAAGCGCTACCTAGGTTTAGCTGGGATAATGCATCATTTCATTCTTCTTTTACTTATTAATAACCATTTTAAAAATTGCAAGATCCTATCAATTTGTCTGATTTACTGATTCCCCTATCCCAAAGTGGAGCGCAAAATTTTTATTTCTTCAACCTAAAAGTTAGTTTAAAATACTTTTTCTGAAGAAAAAAAGAAAGAAATCTGCATTGCCCACAGTCACTGGACAGGAATCTCAGCGTGGAGACACACACGTTCAATTTCCAGAAGTCTACCTTCCCCTACCCAGGTTCCCGCCGCTCCTCAGCGCCCAACCGCACCTCTTACGCCCCTCCCATGCTTCCCTCCAGCCTTCCTCCTTCTTCTCCCACTGCCTCCGCCCACTCTCTTGCCCACCCGAGAAGCTCCGCCCGCTTCAGCTCCGCAACCCAACTCCTTCTGTCCGGCTGTCGCTTTCCTCTTTCCCCGCCCCCATGGCTGCCTTCGATTGGCTAAACCTGCTGGGCCGCGGCGGGGATGCGGCGCAGCCGCATTCTGATTGGCTGAACGTAGGCCTGGACCCTCGTGATTGGCTGATAGGAGGAGACAGCAAGTGTAGCTGAGCTCCGGGGTGTGTGGACGCCGCTTTGTTGCCTGAGGGGGGTGGCGGTGGAAGTTAAGGGAGTCAGGGGCTATCGCTTCTCGGGACTCGCAGTCGCGGCCACTGCAGTCACTTCTCCAGTTAGCCCTTAGGGTAGGGGTCGCGCCGGCAGCAGCCATGAGCGGCGGCGTGTACGGGGGAGGTGAGTGAGTGCGGCCGGAGGAGAGAGCGCGCGTTTTCGGCGTGTGGGGTTTGTAACCGCCGCTCCCAGCCCTCCCCTCTTCGGCGTTCCCTTCCGGTTTCCCCCTCTCGGGACCCCGGCCTCCCCGCCCCGTCCCCGCCCCACGCTCTGCCCGCCCCCGGAGCCCACCAGGCTCGGCCAGCGCCTCCGGCACCCTGGAGTGGCGGCTCTCTGTGGCCGGTTCCTGCCTCTGCCCCCGGAGAAGCAGGGTTTTGGGATGCACGCTCGTTTCTCTAGAGAGCCTCGGGGCTGGGCGGGAAGCTCAGTCCAGCCGGCCGCCGGGCCCCGGCTTGCGTTACCGCCCCAGGGTCGCATCTCCACGAGTGCCTCCTGGACTCGGCTGTATCGGGGCGCATGTGCTCGCGCCTAAACTTGGAAGGTCCCGGCGGTTTGCAAGCGTGGACGGAGGGTTCCCAGAGCGTCTCATAGGTGGCAAAGCGAGCCTCAAGCCGTAGAACTGACTAGGGAAGCGGCGGCCACTTAGGGTACTGCCTCCTCCCTGTCTGTGCCCCATGCGCGAGCTGCCTCACCTTTCAGTAACTCCTGCCTGTTGTTGGCTGCGGAGTCTCCAGAGTGACTCGTGGGCGGGTCTGTTTGAGATTAATTCAGGAGCACGTGTAGTTTAAGGATGCCCAGAAAGTTTGCCGGGGGGTCCTAGGCGTCTTGTTTTTTCACTTATCCTTGATTAGACTGTGGTGTGGCAGAAAGATTACCAGGTGCGGGGGGTTACATCCCTGAGTTGAAATATCCGCCTCACTGTTGAGCGCTTTGGTCTTGGGCAATTTACATAACTTTCCAACTTCAGGTCTCATTTGTGGAATAATTCCTAGCCGATGGCGATGGGCGTGAAGGTTAAATGAAATAATGCTACATTTGCCACTTAAAGTCTGGTCCATGGACCAGCAGTGTCAGCATCACCTGCAAGCCTGTTAGAAATGCAGAATCTCACGCGTCATTCAAAACCTACTGATTTAGAGCCTCCATTTTTGCAAGATCTGCAGGTGAATCAAAACACTGATACATATAATTAATGTTTTGGGTTGTGTTTGATGAGTTAGAGACCCAGAAAACAAATCCAGACTATTGCTATTGTTGCTGTGTCTAGTAGTGATGCTGCTTCTATAAAGGATGTCATTTTACAGGTAAGATACAACAAAAATAAGATTTTTCCTTCATGTTCCCCAAGAAAATCACATCACCCCTAAACTTGGAAGGAGAAAAACATTTAAATCCTCAAAAAAGAAAAAAAGCCGTTTTAGTAGAATAGAGGTTCAATTCTTTTTTTTTTTTTTTTTTTTTTGAGACGGAGTCTCGCTCTGTCGCCCGGCCTGGAGTGGGCTGGAGTGCAGTGGCCGGGTTTACGTCATTCTCCTGCCTCAGCCTCCCGAGTAGCTGGGACTACAGGCGCCCGCCACCTCGCCCGGCTAGTTTTTCTGTATTTTTTAGTAGAGACGGGGTTTCACCGTGTTAACCAGGATGGCCTCGATCTCCTGACCTCGTGATCCGCCCGTCTCCGCGTCCCCAAGTGCTGAGATTACAGGCTTGAGCCCCCGCGCCCGGCCGAGGTTCAATTCTTGAGGATTTTTATACACTAGAAATTGCATCCTAGGTTTTAAACATCCAGAACTCTGTGGTTCTTTCTACTAAGCCTCCTGCCTCCCATTGCCACTCTCCTACTTAGGGTTCATGGGGCTTGATTTTTAATGAAGCAGGGTACAGGAATTAGATGTATCTCCCATCCTGAAAAAGGAACAGATGTAAAATTCTAAGAATTTAGAGTCTTAAATTAAACTTCCACCATATCCAGTTTACTAATTAGGGCAGGAAAATGAGCTGATATGTTGGATTTTTTTCTATTTCACAAAAACGTTTTTTGAGCACTATGTGGCAGGTATAGGCTGTTGTCATCAAGAAGTTCAGTCTTGTAGATGAATCCGTTAGGTAAATAGACACCATATTTCACCGATTCTTAATTGTACATTTTTCCCACATTTAAACAGCTGAAGTTGGAATATGTCTTTTTATTGTTTGTTTGTTTGTTTTTAATAGAGACAGGTCTTGAACTCCTGAGCTCAGGCAGTCCTCCTGCCTCAGCCTCCCAAAGTGCTAGGATTACAGGTTTGAGCCACTGCCTCCAGCCAGAATATGTCTGAGTAGTGCTGGCCTGGCAGAGTTTTAATTGCCATATTATTTTCTTAGTGATGCCGGAAATAGTGGTGCATCATGTAGTTGATAGCATCTTATATTGATCAGAAATGGTAACTGTAATTCAATGAGAGCTGTTCATTGATAACAATATGTAGAAGGGGCCAGGTGCGGTGGCTCACACCTGTAATCCCAACAACTTGGGAGTCTGAGGCGGGCGGATCACTTGAGGCCAGGAGTTCAAGATCAACCTGGCCAACATGACAAAACCCTGTCTCTACTAAAAATACAAAAATTAGCCAGGCATGGTGGCACATGCCTGGAGTCCCAGCTACTGGGGAGGCTGAGGCACAAGAATCACTTGAACCCGGAACTGCACTCCAGCCTGGGTGACAGAGCAGGACTGTATCCTAAAAACACAAAAACAAACATATATATATTTATATATATATTTATATATGTTATATATAATTTTTATATATAATTATATATATAATTTTTATGTTATATATTTATGTTATATATATATTGTATATTTTGTTATATATTTATGTTATATATTTATATGTTATATATTTATGTATGTTATATATATTTACATATGTTATATATATATAGTGCAAAGGTAGTTCAGAGAATAAAGTTATTGATTCCATGTGGTGGAGTCAAGGGACTTTACAATAGAGGTAATGGGGATGATGGAGGAGGAGTGGAAAGGGACAACATATGCAAAGGTTAGCTGAGAGTATGTGGTGTGTTCAGGAGATGACATATTACCCAGTAAGTCAGTGTATGAGGCAGGAAGTGAGACTGCTACCAGATATTGCTATGCCTTGAATTTCAACTGGCTAGAGTGATTTAAATTTTATCAAATTCAATGATGAGAAACCACGGAATGATTCACCCCCTTATTTTTGTTGAAGGATTTATGTACCAAAATAATGACAGTTACAATATTGAAAGATCACAGTGCAGCAGTTGGAAGGGTAGATTTAAGAGGCAAAGAGGTGGAGGCACGGTATCTGTAGGGAATTGTAGTTTCCCTGTTGAGATAAGAGCTTGATTGAAGGCAGGGGCAATGGTATTTAAAAGGAGGGGATTTGAGAAATACTTAGCAGAAATATTTGGCAGAACTTGAAAGATGGAGGTGTTCACAACAACTCTCAGCTTTTTGCCAATGTGGACTGTGGTCAGCAATGTGTTAGGCAATGCTGAGATGAGCAGTGCTTCAGATGTGTTGAATTTGAGATACCCATGAGACATCAGATACAATTATGTTGTTGTACAGTAAAAAGTTCAGGATATGGATCTGGACATTGGTTAGAGCTGAGACAGAGAGAGAGAGAGAGAGAGAGAGAGAGAGAGAGAGAGTTTTGAGATTGAAATTACCAGTATTTAGGTAGAAGTTGAAGCTATAGGAGTACAGTATATTATCCAGGAAAGGGTAAATTAGGGAAGGGGCTCCTAACATGGGGTTTGTGGCCTTCCCAAAGTTTCCATGGTAGAACTATATTTTATTATAATTGGTTTCTTTTATAAACATTTAAAAACATTCTAAGAAGGGATTCATAATTTCCTAAACTGTGTGTATTAGTTTGTAGGTTGCCATAATAAAGTACCACAGTCTGTGTGGCTTAAACAACAGAAATTAGTTTTCTCACAGTTGTGGAGGCTAGAGGTAGATCTTAGTGTCAGCAGAGTTGGTTTCTTCTGAGGTCTCTCTCTGTGCGTAGATGGCTATCTCCTCCCTCTGTCTTCACATGGCCTTCCCTCTGTACAAGTCCAAGTCTGAATTTTCTGTGTTTTTGTTGTTGTTGTTGTTGTTGTTGTTGTTTGTTTTTTGAGATGGAGACTTGCTCTGTCACCCAGGCTGGAGTGCAGTGGCACAATTTCAGCTCATTGCAGCCTCCGCCTCCTGGGTTCAAGCAATTCTCCTGCCTCAGCCTCCCGAGTAGCTGGGACTACAGGTGCACACCGCCATGCCCGGCTAATTTTTTGTATTTTGGGTAGAGTTGGGGTTTCACCATGTTGGCTAGGATGGTCTTGATCTCCTGTTCCGCCCGCCTGCCTCGCAAAGTGCTGGGATTATAGGTGTGAGCCACCACACCCGGCCCGAATTTTCTCTTAAAAACATCAGTTATACTGGATTAGGACCCAATCTAATGATTTCATTTTAACTTAATTACTTCTTCAGAGATTCTGGTTTCACTGGGCATGGTAGCTGACATCTATAATCCCAGCACTTTGGGAGGCCAAGGTGAGTGGATCACCTGAGGTGTGGAGTTTGAGGCCAGCCTGGCCAACATGGTGAAACCCAGTGTCTACTAAAAATATAAAACCTAGCCAGGCTTGGTGGCCAGCAGATGTAATCCCAGCTACTCAGGAGGCTGAGGCAGAAGAATCTCTTGAACCCAGGAGGCGGAGGTTGCAGTCAGCTGAGATTGTGCCATTGCACTCCAGCCTGGGCGGCAGGAACGAAACACTCTCTCAAAACATAAAAAAAAAAAAAAAAAAAAAAGGTACAGAATAAAGACTCTGGTTTCAAGTACAGTCACATTCTGAGGTACTAGGGGTTAGGATTTTGACATAGGAATTTTAGAGACACAATTCAGTCCACAACACTGTCAAAAGGGTCCATAACACAGAACAGGTTAAGGGTTCCTAGTGCAGGGCAAAAGATAAATCCTTGAGGAACAGAAGTTGAAATTTTTGGTTAACTATACAATTAATTCATTTAATTAGGATATCTCTTTACCCAGCATTCTGGTTAATAAAAGTATTAAATGTTATCAACTCCTGTTCATTGCTATACTTACCATTTGTACTCAAGTTTAGGTGCTGTGGTGAAAACAAATACAGTGTTCTCCTTTTAAGGATCCCCTAGTTTCTGACAAAATAATTTGGACCAGAGAATTTTACAGGGTTGTGTTAATTATCTTGAGAAATGTAACAAATACATAAACTTTCTTTTATATTAGAAATTTAAATGTGTCTTTGTTTTATTTGAGTAAAAACGAAAGGCTGGGTGCGGTGGCTCACACCTATAATCCCAGCACTTTGAGGGGCCAAGGCAGGTGGATCACGAGGTCAGGAGTTTGAGACTAGCCTGGCCAATATGATGAAACCCCATCTCTACTAAAAATACAAAGATTAGCTGGGCGTGGTGGTGCACATCTGTAGTCCCAGCTGCTCGGGAGGCTGAGGCAGGAGAATCAGTTGAACTCGGGAGGTGGGGGTTGCAGTGAGCCGAGATCACACCACTGCACTCCAGTCTGGGTGACACATCAAGACTACGAGTCCAAAAAAAAAAAAAAATCATTCTGCAAAGATACTATCTCTTAACTGATATTTGCAAAGTAATGGGTTTACTTTTAAAATTTTTAAGAAGTTTTTGAAATATTTTAAGCATACTAAAAATATATAAACATAAAAAATATATAAATATATGTTTGTATGTGATATTACGGTAATATTACTATAAGTTTGTATGTAATACAATACTATATTCACCAGTGAGATTAAATAGATGTCATATTTTGCCATATTAATACCTCAGATATTTTAAGAATAAAAATGTTAATTGATACAGATTTCCTCTCTCCCCACTTCTTCAGTTCAGGTAACCACTGAACTGAAGTTGGTATGTAACATTCCCAGACCCCATGTGTATTTTCTTTTCTTTCTTTTTTTTTTTTTTTTGAGGGGGGTGTGTGTGTGTGTATACATATATAGTTTTTTGCTAACTAGCTTTTAAAACTAAGCGTTCTTTTAGATTTATTGATGCTGACATATGTAGATCTAGAGTGTTCATTTGAACTGCTGTACAGGATTCCATTGTATGAATATACTATTGCTTATCTATTTCACTACTGAGAGACCGTTAGATTATTTCTGCCTTTTCCTATGGCAAGCAGTGTGTCAATTATAATAGCAGCTTACATTTAGTGTGTGAGTTTTCTAAGACTTCATATACATGAAAGTATTTAATACGTTTAATCATTAGCGCATCCTGTGAGGTAAGAGCTATTATGTATATTTTACATGTTAGGAAACTGAAGCAGAGAGGTTAATAAATTGCTCAGTTCTTGTAGCTGTTGAACATTCTTGTACATGTCTCCTTGCAACCTGTATGAGAGAGTGTCTCCAGAATAAATAAGTGTAATTCTATGTATGCACAATTTCAACTTTAGTAGATGTAACTAAATTGCCCATAGTGGTTGTCCCACTTTGGATAATAAATTATAGAATCACCCTAGTTGATGGTGGAGGGAGGTTACTGGTATATTTATTAGCCTGATTCATTCACCTCAGGGTAATCTATGGCTAACTGCATCCCCTCTACTAAAAGTCACAGCTCCTATCAGGTAGCCCTCCTCATACAACTTTCTCTCCAGATTCTGATAACAGTAATTTCTTCTTGTTTCTTCAGTTTGAAGAATGGCAATGGATCCATTATTATTAGTTATCATTATAGTACTGGGGTACTGTACTGTTCCTTCTGGTTGTCCGTATTTCACCTATATCTTTGCAAATAATTCCCTTTAATAAGTAAACTCAAATTACCCAGTTTTAGTGTACCATTTCTTAACTGATTGAACCTCTACTGAAATACGGTGTAAATTAAAATCATTTAATTAAATGATTCTTTAAGGTGTATTTGAAACTAGGTTCAAGTGAATAATAATATGAATATAATTGGGTTGAGTGCAGTGGCTCATGCCTGCAGCACTTGGGGATGCTGAGGCAGAGAATTGCTTGAGCCCTGGAGTTTGAGTCCAGCCTGGGCAACATAGTGAGACCTTATCTCTACAAAAAAATTTTTAAAATTTGCTGGGCGTGCTGGCATGCATTTGTAGCCCCAGCTACTTGGAAGATGAGGCAGGAGGATTGCTTGAGCCTAGGAGATTGAGGCTGCAGTGAGCTGTGATTTTCATGTGATACTTCTGCAAGCTGTTAATACTAATTATCTTTTAATCTTTTCAGATGAAGTTGGAGCCCTTGTTTTTGACATTGGATCCTATACTGTGAGAGCTGGTTATGCTGGTGAGGACTGCCCCAAGGTAAGTGTAAAGTTAGAGTTAATTGGATATGTAGAGCTATTCATGTAAATTAAAGTCATGCAGAAATTCTAATTTAAAACAAAATATAATAAAATACATTAGTTGGGGGAAAAATGCCTCCTTGATAAAAGGTGAAACTTGTGTATCATATTTCTGACTCTTACAGGTGGATTTTCCTACAGCTATTGGTATGGTGGTAGAAAGAGATGACGGAAGCACATTAATGGAAATAGATGGCGATAAAGGCAAACAAGGCGGTCCCACCTACTACATAGATACTAATGCTCTGCGTGTTCCAAGGGAGAATATGGAGGCCATTTCACCTCTAAAAAATGGGATGGGTAAGATGTTTTCCCCATGGAATTGATTATAGAGTATACATGTTACAGTTTACATATAAAGTAGTAGCTTCCTATAAGTTGAACATCAGCCATGGTTTTTTTTTGTTTTTTGTTTTGTTTTTATTCCACAAACTGATTTCAGACACTGAGAATATAAAGATACATAAGAAATGTTCCTTTTCCTTAAAAGCTTAGTTAGAAATAGATGTATGTATATATACAAATAATGGTACACTGTGATAAGTGCTACAATATAGGTATATGCAATGAGCAATGGGATTAGAGAGGAGAGGTATTTTACTCTAGTGTTGGGAGTCAGTGATGGTTTTCACAAAGGAGGTAACTTGTGATGAATCTTGATCAATGAATAAGAATTAGTCTGGCTGAAAATTGACAAATGGGATCTAATTAAACTAAAGAGCTTCTGCACAACAAAAGAAACTACCATCAGAGTGAACAGGCAACCTACAGAATGGGAGAAAATTTTTGCAATCTACCCATCTACTAAACTAAATATCCCACCTAACAAAAGACTCAAACAAAACTTTACATGAGAAAAAAAAACACCCCAATGAAAAAAAAGCAAAGGATATGAACAGACAGTCTCAAAAGAGACATGCATACAGCGAACAGACATGAAGAAAATCTATCCATCACGGCCATCAAAAACAATCAAAAACCACAAATGAGATACCATCTACAGCAGTTGTAGAATGAGCAATCAGTTAAAAAGTCAGGAAACAACAGGGGGTGCCTGGAGGAGGAGAGGAGGAGAAATAGAACACTGTTTACACTGTTGGATTTTAAACTTAGTTCAACCATTATGGAACATATGGCAATTCTCAAGGATCTGTAAACTAGAAGTTACCATTTTAGTGACCCAGTCATCCCATTACTGGGGATATATGTACCAAAGGATTATAAGTCATGCCTCGCTATAAAGACACATGCACATGTATGTTTATTGCGCATTATTCGACAAAGGCAAAGACCTTGTATTCAACCAAGAAATGTCCATCCCATCAGACTGGATAAAAAATGTAGCCATATACACCCATGAATACTATCACCATAAAAAAGATGAGTTTGTGTCCTTTAGACATGGTGCAGCTAAACCATTCATTCTCACAAACTTATCGCAAAGAAAACCACAACCAAACACGCATGTTCTCACTCATAGGTGGGAAACTGAAACCAATGAAACACTTGGACTGCGGGAAGGAAATACACACCCGGGCTACACGGGGAGAGGCGAGGAGAGTTTTGCCACTTGGGCGAGTTATACTGGATGTAAAATGATGAAGTTTGATGGGTCTGACGAGTTGATGGGTGCAGCACGGCCAAATGGCACAGTATACAGTATGAAGAAACGATGTCGCACGTTATCCACACTGTACCCCTTAGAATTAAAGTATAAATTAAAAAAAAAAACCGCGCTTCTCCGCCGCCAAAGCTGGGTAAAGCAGAGGGACCAGCATGTGTGAAGGGATGGAATTGTGAAAGAAGCTTATGTGCTTAAAAATGTAATACAATTAAGTATGGTTGCAGCATTGGGCTCATTAGGGTCAGTAGCAGGAAAGGTAGGCAGGGAGCAGTCATAAAAGGGCTTGTAAACCATCCCAGGGTTGTATTAAGCTAGTTACTGAAGGATAACCCCAAAGGAATTTAAACAGATGTGATATGCTCGTATTTGCCAGCTGGAAAGATTAATAGTAATATGTAGTCTAGATTGGAAGGAGACACTAGAGACAGAGCCCAATAAGGGAGGTAAGAGTCCAGATGAGAAATGAAAAAGGTTTAAACTCTTATATAATGCTGGTAGAGATTCTGAAGGGACTTTCAGGGTAACCAGGAAACAAATGGTACTAAACGATCGAGGGAGTGAAAGCAAGAGAGAAGTTGAGAAAGTTTCCTAGATTTTTGGTTGGAATAACTCTGAACAGAGAGTACCATGCATTGAGATAGGAATAGAAAGGGAAGAAGCAAGTTTTATGGTTTTAAAAGGCATGGTTGGCCATGCGCGGTGGCTTGCGTGTGTATAATCCCAGCACTTTGGGAGGCTGAGACTGCGGGTGGATTGCTTGAGTCTAGGAGTTCGAGACCAGCCTGGGCAACATGGTGAAACCCCATCTCTACTAAAAATACAAAAATTTGCCAGGTGTGGTGATACATACCACCTGTAATCCCAGCTACTCAGGAGGCTAAGGCATGAGAATCACTTGAACCCAGGATGCAGAGGTTGCAACTGAGATCCCATGACTGCACTTCAACCTGGGTAACAGACCGAAATTCTGTCTCAAAAAAAAGAAAGAAAAAGACAAAAGCGAGGTTATCAGGGATACTCCAAATCACTCTCAGGTTCAGTTACTCACCAGCAAGACTCCCTCACAGGACTCAGCATATGGTTGTATTCGCAGCTAAGATTTATTGTACTGAAGATTCAGATTCAAAACAAAATCGACAAAGGGAAAAGGGACAGGGGATGATGAAGTCCAGATGCAAGCTTCGGAGAGTTTTCTCACAGTGGAGTCACACAGGATGTGCTTAATCCCTCCATCAACAAGTTACAACCTGTGTTATCTTCCAGGAGAACTCTGAAACTCAATACCCAAGGATTTTACAGAGGGCTGGTTATGTAGGTACCATCTACCTGGCATGTAACAAAATTTTAGATTCTCAGAAGGAAAGCAAGTGTTCAGAACCAACCACATTGTACAAACAGTGTAGGTATAGCGAGCTACTTTTACCATTTAGGGACAAGTTTTATATGAACATAGGGAACTGTTTGCCAATCGTGTTTCCAGACACCAGCTAAGAGTGAGCCTTACAAGCAGGCCTTTCTCAGGCTTGCGGTGTTAACTCTTTCATGTAGAGTAAGTAAATGGGTTCACTAAGTTAAAAGTGCTCACAACATCCAGGTGACAATTCTGTAAACAGGGGAATAAAAGATTATAAGAAAGATTTTAAGACATGGAGTTGCGTTTTATTACTCTGAAAAAATTTGGAATATGGGAAGAGGATTGAAGGTGGAGTTCTTAGCAAAAAACGTGTATATTTTAACCAATAGAGAATAAAAGGTACCCTTGAAGGAGAATGAAAGGGAACAATTAGGGATGTAGGAAAAAATTCAGGGGAAGAATAAGAAAAGAAAAAGTTTCTGGAAGCATAAAATTCCATTTATTCTCAGTGTTTTCCGCTGTGACATTGAAAGCTTTACACTAAGAAAGAAGTTAAAAAAATCCAGGTGGGCCTGTGGAAATATATAATTAATGACATTTTTTCTTTGGGCTGCAGTAGAAAAGTTTGTAAACTCTTGTGAAGGCAATACTGTTATAATTTAGAGAAGTCAGATGAGATTAAAAATGTTAAGTGTCCATGAATTTGCCTAGTAGAAGGTCATTTGTGACTGGGGGCGGTGGCTCACACCTGTAATCCCAGCACTTTGGAGGCCGAGGTGGGTGGATCACCTGAGGTCAGGAGATAAAGACCAGCCTAGTCAACATGGTGAAACCCTGTCTCTACTAAAAATGCAAAAATTAGTTGGGCATGGTGGCGGGCACCTGTAATCCCAGCTACTTGGGAGCCTGAGACAGGAGAATTGCTTGACCCCAGAAAGCAGAGGTTGCAGTGAACCGAGATTGTGCCATTGTACTCCAGTCTGGGCGACAGAGTGAGACTCCATCTCAAAAAAAAGAAGGTCATTAATGACTTATGTCAGTAGTTTTAATGGAATGTTTAGGTGGAAGCCAAATTGAAGACAGATGTTCTTCTTTGAATTTTTAACATGTCTTTTAGTCTTTTTCCAAATAGATTGTAAGCTTTTTTGAGTGTTGGGTCTAGACCATACAGATCTTTGTTGTTGTTTTTTTTTTTTAAACCCAGCAGTAGTATCATTTAGAAGGCCATATAATTCTTCTGTACTTCCTGTTATTCTGATCACATTCTGGGCCTCTAATAAGTATTTATTGAATTGAATAACATTTACTTGGTATTTTAGGTCTGTTAGATTAATTACATTTGGGATAGGTCTGGGGGCTGGAGGGACCAAAAAGAAGTTCTATATATCTAGAAGACAAAGGTAATCTTTATATAAAGTACTGTGGTATGAAGTTGATCTGTAAAATTAGTAGGTTCTGTATAATACGGTATTAATTGTTAAGTCACAGAAACAATTTCTCAAAATATGTTGTATTCATCTTCAACTATGCATTGTTTCCAAGTTACTAATCTTATATTCTAGTTGAAGACTGGGATAGTTTCCAGGCTATTTTGGATCATACCTACAAAATGCATGTCAAATCAGAAGCCAGCCTCCATCCTGTTCTCATGTCAGAGGCACCGGTGAGATAAAGATTTTCTTTTTCATGTTTCTGTAGTTGTTTTTTTTTTTTTCTTTTTTCCTTTAGTTTTCTACTCATTTGATGAATATTTTTCTATAAAGAGGCATAGAAATTCATATTTTGAATTTGAAAATTAGGGAAAAAGATTAATTTTTTAATACTATTGTAACTTTCATTTTACTATTCTGATAAAATATGCAGAGAACAACAAAACACACTAATGAATTCTTGTGGTTATTTATGTATTTCTAGGGATTTAACATTTTATTTCCTAGGACTGCTTCCCATTTTGAATTACGAATCATTTCTTGTGCCCCAAGGGCAGCGTATATCTACTTTATTCAAGTTTCCAAGAGAGAATTGAGATGTTGAACAAGGGCTGGAAATTTCTGGACCAAAGTCTCTTGTGAAATACATTTGGTACATAGACAGAAACGACCCAGAAAGCAAGCATAATGGTCATAAATTATCAGTATCTTATTGTTGCTAACTTATAGTTTCTTTTATGAATACCATCTATAAGTGGGAGAATTTGGTGGTCTAAAATTCATACTTAGGATTTGGATTGACCATATTTACTCTTTAGATTTAATAATATGTTTATAAGAATACTGATTTCCTCATATGTGGAAAAGTCTGTAATTCTAGAATTTATAGAAGCAATTTTATTATTAAAGAATTTTAATTCTTATCTGATTGATTTGTTTAATCTACATCTAAAGAAATATAGAGGTTTTGTTTTTATTTTTGTGAGATATTATTATGAAAGATTATTTCCCATGGTATTTTTTGCTGTTCTTATTGTTTTATTTCTTTGTTAATATAGTGCTAGATTTTATCTGGAGATAAATCAACTTTTTAATTCTTAATAACTTGCATTTCTTTTTCCCCTCTTCTCAAGTGGAATACTAGAGCAAAGAGAGAGAAACTGACAGAGTTAATGTTTGAACACTACAACATCCCTGCATTCTTCCTTTGCAAAACTGCAGTTTTGACGGCGTATCCTTGAAAGAGTAATACCTTTCCTCTTGAAGTGTATACCATACTACTGAATGTGATAACTCTGGCAGAAGACATAAGCCAATTATTGCTTGTTCAGAAGTTGTTTTTTTCTCTTTTCTCTTGCTTTTTAGCTATTCATCTTTTGGTGTTTCTCATTAGAACTGATGATACACTAGAAAGTATGAGGGAAATAAAGTAACACTCAAATTCTGAGTGTTAAGACGTTTTTGTTTTTAAGAAGGTGCATGTGGATAGAAGGCAATATTTTAACCAGTTGGCTTAGATGAAATGAAAGATTGCCATTTTCTCCCTCCCTTCCAATATCACAGAAAACTGGAAATTGGCTGTAAATTCATTCCCCTTCAAATTTAGTCAGTCATCAAGTCCCACCTATTCTTTCCTGCTATTTGTTTCTCTCTTTCCCACTGCCACAGCATTAGGTGGAAGCTATTTCCAGGATTACTGAAGCACATCCTCTTGTCTGCCCATTCTTTACACTGTTGATCTAATAATCTTTCTATTTTTATTTATTTATTTATTTGGTAGAGATGGAGTTTCACCATGTTGCCCAGGCTGCTCTCTAACTCCTGGACTCAAGCGATCTGCTTGCCTCGGTCTCCCAAAGTGCTGGGATTACAGGCATGAGCCACCATGCCCAGCCTCTAATAATCTTTCTAAAGTGCTAGTCTGCTTTAAGCTAGAATCATCTTCTACATTTCTTCCTTTTACTTTCAGACCGTACTGAGGTGCTTGCAGTTCTCTGACCTCGCTGTGTTCTCTTGCCTCCTGGTCTTCCCACATGCTGCTACTCTTGCCCATATTCCCTTCCCCATAATTAACAATTAGATATCCCAGGAATAGGTTTCTCTTTTACACCACCACCTTCCCTGGGACATCGTGAGCTTTTCTTTTTACAGCTTTATTGATCATCTACTTCACTAAACAGGATAACCTTCAGGGAAAAGGCAGTTTTGGTGCACCATTGTGTGTCTACTGTGTTAAAGGAATTTTAGTGCCAGGTGAGCAGCCTCCCTCTTTCCTCCCTCCCTCCTTATTAAGCACCAGACTTAGTAGACACCTAATAGACGCTCAGTAAATATTTGATGAATGAGTGAATGCCCCTACTCCTTAACTTCAGTTTAGTATATTCAGGTAGTATAGGCCTTCTGCAGCACAGAATGTGGAAAATGGGATCTGCCAATATTCACCAACTGTGGAATTCACCTGGCATAGTTTTCCCGCCCATTGAGTTAGAGGAGATAGGAACTGCCATATGGCTTTGCCAAACTGCTGAAACAGCTCCTCTTCAATGCTATGTGAGAATGGTTATAGTCCCTAGCTCAGTTGTCACAACCTCCCACTGTTCTTACCAAGTTTCTGTACATTTTGTTAAATAAATGCATCTCAGTTTGTTGTAAGTGCTTTGATCAGTCTCCAGAGACTTTCAATGATTATGTTAATTTTGACCAGCTTAATAGTAGCTGTTTCTAGGATAAAGGTTTCCCTGAGTTCCTGATACCTCCATTCTAGAATTCCTGCCTCTTGCTATTTGTTCTTAAGCCATAAATATTATTTTATACCAATTTTTATCCCTAGATTCACTGTAGTACATTTTTAACTATGAGATAGATGTTTAAGAAATAGTTTCTGAAATATAAGAGCCTGCCCTTTACAGTAAACATTATTTTAGCGGCCTTGATACTTTCTTTTCCTTAATGTTTTAAACTAGATTTGCTAATGGTCGTTCTACTGGGCTGATTTTGGACAGTGGAGCCACTCATACCACTGCAATTCCAGTCCACGATGGCTATGTCCTTCAACAAGGTAAATGTATTTAACCAGGATACACTGAGATGATTTTAGGTGTTATGAGGACGCACATAATGAAATAAAATGACGAGTAGCACTTTTAAAGCATATCAGTTTCTGAATAAGATCATTTTTAAGTATGTTAAAAATCTTTAGTATATAATGTGTATTTAAAACTGATGCATTGCTTTATTTATGTGTTGAAGGATAGTTCATTTACCTGAAAAAGTTATTCATATAAATACACCCGTAGGGGAAATTCGTTCTAGGAAGTTTGGACTTAACTGCTCTCTTAGCCTTGTCTCATCTGTTTCATAGGCATTGTGAAATCCCCTCTTGCTGGAGACTTTATTACTATGCAATGCAGAGAACTCTTCCAAGAAATGAATATTGAATTGGTTCCTCCATATATGATTGCATCAAAAGTAAGTATTGAATTTTCTTTCTAGAACATACCTCTAGCTCCCCCACCCCTATGAAATGAACTCCATTAACCTAGCATCTCTTGGTACTCTCAGGAAGCTGTTCGTGAAGGATCTCCAGCAAACTGGAAAAGAAAAGAGAAGTTGCCTCAGGTTACAAGGTCTTGGCACAATTATATGTGTAATGTAAGTAACCCTCATTCTCTTTACAAAAATGTTATAGGCTTTTTGCGTGAGTGTTAAAAAAAAAGTTATATATAGGCTGTAAATCCTTGAGTAAAATATGAGCACTTTATATTTTCAAGCTTTTTTAAATTACTAAATATATTTTGAAGATTAAATAGAGCATGATCTCAGGATTACACTCTATATTTTTAATGATACTTTACTAACAAAAGAGCTTTGCTGTGAGAGGCATACTTTTCATATTTGCCAAACAAATGTCTCTGCAAATCACTACATATTCACTTGGATTACTATGGTGAGACCTGGAAGGAATTTTGGTTTTATGCTATTCTGAACATTTTTGACTGAGAAAATGGTTTTAGGTTTTGGAGAGGCCTACTAGTATGTCTCAGTTATGATCTGTTTCCCAGCATCAGTCAGCCATATCAAAAATGTGTTTTTGTTCAGAACAAGGAACCCATGAGAGATTCTCTACGAAAAACCCATCTCTGAACATATGGCTTACTGATGGGGAAGAGGTTAGTAAAACAACCTGACACCACAGATACACCTTAATTTCTTTTTGTTTTGTTTAAAAAAACTGTTATTTTAGGTTCAGGGGTACATGTGCAGGTTTGTGATATAGGTAAACTCGTATCACGGAAGTTTGTTGTACAGATTATTGTCCCCCAGGTACTAAGCCTAGTACCCAATAGTTATTTTTTCTGCTCCATTCCCTCGTCCCTCAGGGAGGCCCCACTGTCTGTTGTTCCCTTCTTTGTGTCCATGTGTTCTCATCATCTAGCTCCCACTTGTGAGAACGTGCTGTGTTTGGTTTTCTGCTCCTGCATTAGTTTGCTAAGGATAATGGCCTGTAGCTCCATCCCTGTTCCTTCAAAAGACATGATCTCATTCTTTGTTGGTTTTTTTTTTTTCACTGTGGTCTGTATATACCACATTTTCTTAATCCAGTCTTCCACTGATGGGCATTTAAGTTGATTCCATGTCTCTGCTATTGTGAATAGTGGTGCAGTGAACATACGCATACATGTGTCTTTATGATACAGTGTTTTATATTCCTTTGGGTATATACCCAGTAATGAAATTGCCGGGTCAAATGGTAGTACTGGGCCAGGCATGGTGGCTCACGCTTGTAATTTGAGAGGCTGAGGTGGGTGGATCCCTTGAGCTCAGGAGTTAGAGACCAGCCTGGGAATCATGGCAAAACCCTGTCTCTACAAAAACAGAAAAATTAGCTAAGTGGGGCCAGGTGCGATGGCTCACTCCTGTAATTCCAGCACTTTGGGAGTCCGAGGCGGGTGGATCACCTGAGGTCAGGAGTTCGAGACCAGCCTGGCCAACATGGTGAAATCCTATATTTAAAAATCAGCTGAGTGTGGAGGTGGGCACCTGTAATCCCAGCTACTTGGGAGGCTGAGGCAGGAGAATTGCTTAAACCCAGGAGATGGATGTTGCAGTGAGCTAACATGGTACCACTGCACTCCTGCCTGGGTGACAGAGTGAGACTCCATCTCAAAAAAAAGAAAAAGAAAAATTAGCTAAGTGTAGGGGTGTGCACCTTTAGTCCCAGCTACGTGGGAGACTGAGGTGGGAAAATCACCTGAGCCCTGGGAGGTCGAGTCTGCAGTGACCCGTGAGTGTACCAGTGCCCTCTAGCCTGGGTAACAGAGTGAGAACCCACCTCAAAAAAGAAAAAAAAACACAAATGGTAGTTCTGTTTTTAGCTCTTTGAGGAATTGCCACACGGCTTTCAACAATAGTTGAACTAATTTACATTCTCACCAAAAGTGAATAAACTTTCATTTTTCTCTGCAGCCTTGTCAGCAGCATCTGTTTTTTATTTATTTTTTTCAAGACAGAGTCTTGCTTTGTTGCCCAGGCTGGCGCGCAGTGGTGCAATCTCGGCTCACTGCAACCCCGTCTCCCGGGTTCACGTGATTCTTCTACCTCAGCCTCCCGAGTAGCTGCAACTACAGGCGCGTGCCACCACGCCCGGCTAATTTTTGTATTCTTAGTTGGCCAAGGTGGTCTCGAACCCTTGACCTCATGATCTACCTGCCCCAGCCTCCCAAAGTGCTAGGATTACAGGTGTAAGCCACCGTGGCCAGCCCTATTTTTTTTACTTTTTTATAATAAATAATAGCCATTCTGACTGGCGTGAGATGGTGTATCATTGTGGTTTCGATTTTCATTTATCTGATGGTCAGTGACAGTGATCTTTTTTTCATATACTGTTGACGGCATATATGTTTTCTTTTGAAGTGTCTGTTAATGTCCTTTGCCCACTTTTTAATGAGGTGGGTTTTTTTGTTTAAGTTTTTTATAGAAGCTGGATATTAGACCTTTGTTAGATACATGGTTCGCAAATATTTTCTCATTCTGTAGGTTGTTTGCTTACTCTGTTGATAGAAATTAATGTGTATCCAGCAAAAGAAACTAAGAGTAAAATTATATAAGTCATAATTACTATGAGAAGGATCACATCTAACAGGTTTTAAAAAGTTATATCATATATATTTATATCATGTATATATCGTGTGTATATATACACATATGTATATATATACACACATATGTATATATACACACACACATATACATACATACATATATATATATATATTTTTTTTTTTTAAAGACAGGGTTGGCCGGGCACGGTGGCTCACACCTGTAATCCCAGCACTTTGGGAGGCCGAGGTGGTGGATCACTTGAGGCAAGGAGTTCAAGACTATCCTGGCCAACATGGTGAAACCCCGTCTTTAGTAAAAATACAAAAATTAGCTGGGTGTGGTGCTGAGTGCCTGTAATCCCAGCTACTTGGGAGGCTGAGGCAGGAGAATTGCTTGAACATGGGAGATGGAGGTTGCGTTGAGCTGAGATTGTGCCACTGCATTCCAGCCTGGACAACAGAGCAAGACTCTGCTCTAAATAAATAGAGCAAGACCTCTGTCTAAATAAATAAAAATAAAATAAATAATAAATAAATACAGGGTCTCTCTCTCTCGTCACCAGGGCTGGAGTGCAGTGGTGCAATTGTAATTCCACTGCAGCCTCAAAACACCTGGGCTCCCCTGCCCTCAGCCTGCCTAAGTAGGAGGCACTACAGGTGCACGCCACCATGCCCGGCTAAATTTTTAATTTTTTATTTTATAGAGAACAGGGTCTCACTATGTGTCCAGGCTGGTCCTTGAACCCTGGCCTCAAGCGATCCTCTGTCTTGGCCTCTCAACAGTGCTGAGATTACAGGCATGAGCCACTGCACCCAGCTCTGACAGTTTTTGCACCTAAAGATAAAGATTTTGTGTGTGTGTACATGTAATATATGAGGAAAAATTAGGATTACTCATTTTTCCTAGATATTAGACAAGATTTTTCTAGAGGTCATGTTAGTTCATAGCATTTTATTAAACTGTTTTATACTATGTACAGTCATTAAAAGTTGCGTAAAATGTGATGTATATGCACATGTGTATATGTAGGTAATGAAATCTTGCTTCTAATCTAGCTTATTTTTAAGAAGAAAGTGGTGTTCTGAAATTGGTTTTGTTATGCAGGACTGTGGTGCAGGGGTTCCTGCACCTGCAGTTGTTTATCTCTCATCGTTTTATAACTGTTGTAACTTAAATGTGTGTAATTTAGCTTCTAATGCAAATGTTTAGAATTAGGTTTCTTGATACTCAGAATTCTTGTTAGGTAGATTAATACTGTTGAAATGATTTACACATCTAGAAACATGGTCCAATTTCATTCTGAAAAGTATTTAAAATATATTATAAAAGTATAGATTACCAAGATAAATCTCAACCTTGTTTGTTAAACTTTTTTCTTTTACTCATAGTGTGTTATCCAGGATTTTCAAGCTTCAGTACTTCAAGTGTCGGATTCAACATATGATGAACAGTATGTTTTTTTATTTAAATTGTATACTTTATAAATGAGGAAAGGATTTGTTTAGAAAACATGGAAAGTACTTAATTGAATAATGTTTTAAATATTCTCATTCCCATTTTTTTACAAGTTGATAATTCCCTAGTAGTTTATAATTTTGAAGAGAATTATTTTTGTCTTTTGTGTAATACTGTTTAACATGTTTTCAGAGTGGCTGCACAGATGCCAACTGTTCATTATGAGTTCCCCAATGGCTACAATTGTGATTTTGGTGCAGAGCGGCTAAAAATTCCAGAAGGATTATTTGACCCTTCCAATGTAAAGGTATAAAAGCTTTTCATAATTAGCCTGGCTTTTCCTATATAGGTAAAGAGCTTTTGTGGCTAAAATGTTTTGGATATGCTTTACTGTATGAAGAGCCTCCATGTGACTACTTGTTTTCTTTTGTTGTAGGGGTTATCAGGAAACACAATGTTAGGAGTCAGTCATGTTGTCACCACAAGTGTTGGGATGTGTGATATTGATATCAGACCAGTAAGTGCCAGTCTCCTGTTATGGTTTAAAGGTACCTTTTCGGGGATTGAAATGCCCCCAAATCATTGTTAGGTTGACAATGACCTAATGGTTGTCAATGTCATTGACTTTGAAGTTCATTTTATAACAGTATCTATAAAAAGATGAAGTACTAGAAAAAGAAAAATGTGCAACTCTAGAGCTATGGTGTCCAGTTTTGTAGCTACCCTCCACAGGTGGCAATTTAAATTAAAATAAGTAAAAACATAAAACTCAATTCTTCAGTTGTAATAGCCTCATTATAAATGTGGCTAGTGGCTGCTGCGTCAGACAGTGCAGATATAGAACATTTGCACCATCACAGAAAGTTCTGTAGACAATGCTGCACTAGAGATTTCCTGAAATGTGGCAAACCAAAATATGTATTGTTAGTGATTTTCTTACAGATAGTACAACTTCTACTTTTATTTTTCAGGAAGGTGTGGTTTAAATGGTATGAGTAACTTTTACATGAAGTTTATTTTAAATGATCTTCATATTTTTTGTGCTTTGTCAGGTTTTAAATACTAACTCCATATTATATATTTCACTCATTATCAGTGATAGGTTCTTGGAGACTGAACTTTAAGTGAAACAATGTACAGTAAGTCCTTGAAGGACATTGTTTCAGGAAAAAAATTGGTTTTGTTACATGTCATTTTGTTGAAAGTCAGTTTCCAAGGTCATATTGATAACATTGAGGACTGACTTTATCTTATTTAAACCTAATTCAGCTTCTCACCCACATACTGCCTAGATTTTGAATAAATTAATTTGCTTAAAGCATAGTGCTAATAGCTACTATGTTGTTCAAAAAAGGCTTTGAGTGGCTATGAAAATCATACTTTATTTTACCTTTATTTCACCTGGTAACCTGGTAGGCATGTGATGTTTCTAGGACAATAGTAATATAAGTTTGGGATTTTTTTAGTGCAAATACAATTCCACCTTTGGGGGAAGGTAATTGAATTGAAGTATATTTATTGCAACAGTGATAACTTTGTTTTTAGTGAAATTTCTCCCTTTAACTAATGAGATACTTTTGCATTCTATTTTCTACTTCAAAACTTAGATGATTTAGACATTTGAAATACGTTTTAAAAATAGGAACTTATCCACTAAAACAGGTTGACATTTAACTTTCTGATGCATACATGCAAATTCAAAGTAAATATAAGTAGTAATTTATTTTTATTTGGGGAGGCCTTAGCATGTGTGTTTTGGAAAAGCTCCCATGTGCTTCTGATGTATATATACCTCTGCAAAAGAGAAAGGTAGCAATCATTTTGGCCAGGAATATGTTCAGTTTGTCATTGTCTGTCACAATCATAAAATAATCTGTCTAATTTTGAATATCCTAACTTCCAGATGAGCATTCTTTTTCAAAATATTTGTAATTTTAATTTTTGGCTGGTGGTTGCTATTAATATTTCCAGATGACCATTCTAAGATAAAGTCATTATAGAATGTACTTCTAATTAAATATTGGCAGCTATCTGCCAAAAAAATTATGATTTTTAGAATGATTCCTTTAAGTTAGTGGTTCTTAAAACTTCATGCACATTAAAATAATCTTGGGAGTTAAAAACCATGCCTGCCAGGCACAGTGGCATGTAGTCCCAGCTACTTGGGAGCCTGAGGCAGGAGGAATGTTTGAACCCAGGAGTTTGAGGCTGTGGTACACTATGACTGTGCCTGTGAATAGCCACTGCATTCCAATGTAGGCAATATAACGAGACCCTGTCTCTAAAAGTAATCTTGCCTGGATCCCATCCCCAGACATTTTTATGTAATTGCCCCTAGGAATTTGTGTTTTAAAAGCTCCTTAGATGAGTTGAATGTACAGCTAGGATGGAGAATCGATGGATTAAGCTATTAGGTCTATATAATAGTAAAACATTTCCAAAAAATGAAAGGGAAGATTGTAGTAGCGCACATTTTTAGTTGTATTTAAAACTTTTGGAAACATGTGGAACTGATTTTTCTTGTATTTTTATCCTAGGGTCTCTATGGCAGTGTAATAGTGGCAGGAGGAAACACACTAATACAGAGTTTTACTGACAGGTTGAATAGAGAGCTGTCTCAGAAAACTCCTCCAGTAAGTTCTGTTTGTTCTTTAATGGTATTCTTCAGTCATATATTTCCTCACTGATGGTGTCCTTTTGTAGATAAGCATTCATTTTTCGATAGATACATGATATTTTGTATGTGCCTGGTATAGTATCACTAAAGTTAATATCCTTTAACCAAGTTTTCCTAGTTAACATCTATTAGTTTCTCTTAAATTATTTGAATCTCATTTATTAACTTAATATTTAAATATGGATAGTTTGCTAGGCACTAGTCCCTGCACACCAAGGGCTCAGTCTACTAGGATGGTTAGACATGCAGAAAATGATGACTGTAGCGTGCTAAACAATTCAGTATGTCATGGACCAGGTGCTGTCGGGAACACCAAGAAGCCACTACTTAACTCGCTAGGAGTATCAGAGAATAGCCTCATGAAGAAGCTATAGTTTGAATGAATAGTTCAACTCATTACTAATTTATGAAAGGATATCTAGATGGAGGGAATAAAACCATTTACAAAAATATTAAGAGAAGATGGGTATGTTCCAGTAATTCAAAGTAGTTGGCTTCTAGTCTTTACATAAGTGGGGAAAGCAATATGGCTAGAAAGATGGATTAGTTTCCTAGAGCTGCCATAACAAAGTACATGTTGGTGGCTTAAAACAGAAATTTATTGTCTTATAGTTCTTGAGGCTAGAAGCCTCAAGGTGTCAGTGGGGCTATGCTGAATCTCTAGGGGAAAATACTTCCTTCTTCACAGGATAAAATCTAGCAGTGGACTGATGAGCTCATATGTTTGTTTTAGAAAGATCAGTGGGTATATTGTAATAACTTTTAAGAGAATAGAAAAACTCGCCGGGCGCGGTGGCTCAAGCCTGTAATCCCAGCACTTTGGGAGGCTGAGACGGGCGGATCACAAGGTCAGCAGATCGAGAGACCATCCTGGCTAACACGGTGAAACCCCGTCTCTACTAAAAAATACAAAAAACTAGCCGGGCGAGGTGGCGGGCGCCTGTGGTCCCAGCAGGAGAATGGCGTAAACCCGGGAGGCGGAGCTTGCAGTGAGCTGAGATCAGGCCACTGCACTCCAGCCTGGGCTACAGAGCCAGACTCAGTCTCAAAAAAAAAAAAAAGAGAATAGAAAAACTCGGTTTGAGAAGGTAATTTATATAGTACTTCAATAACAGAATGGCAGTTATAATCTTTTAACTTTAAATTTAAAATTTTTATTGGCTGGATGCGGTGGCTTATGCCTATAATCCCAGCACTTTGGGAGGCCGAGGCAGATGGATTACGAGGTCAGACCAGCCTGGCAAACATGGTGAAACCCCATCTCTACTAAAAATACAAAAATTAGCTGGGCCTGGTGGCGGGCGTCTCTAATTCCAGCTACTCGGGAGGCTGAGGCAGGAGAACTGCTTGAACCCGGGAGGCAGAGGTTGCAGTGAGCTGAGATTGTGCCACTACACTCCAGCCTGGGTGACAGCACGAGACTCCATCTCAAAAAAAAAAAAAAAAAAAAACAAAAATTAGCCGGACATGGTGGCACGTGCTTGTAATCCCAGCTACTTGGGAGGCTGAGGCAGGAGAACTGCTTGAACCCAGGAGGCCGAGGTTGCAGTGAGCCAAGATCATGCCACTGTACTCCAGTCTGGGTGACAAAGCAAGACTCTGGCTCAGGAAAAAAAAAAAACACAAAACTTCAAGTGGTTTTTTTGTAAGGTGTTCTGCACTAAATATTAAATTTTAAAACCCTTATTAGTGGTTACATATGCCCTAACAATGTCTATAAATCTGTATATTTAATAGTCTTTTAGCTTCCCATATAAAAGAATGTTTTACATATGCCACATTTCTATTATTACAAGTGATATCTAAATATATAGGCACACAGTTGACATCTGCCTTGTATTTTCTAAATTCTTGGAGATCTAGAGCATACCTGAATTATAATACTAATCATTAGATTGATTTATTGATTGATTTGAGATTTGTTATCCTATTTCAAAATTACCGTATTTTAATCAGTGTTTGAACCACAGGGAGCCATTCAGAAGTCTGTCAAAATTGAATTTCCTGGCTGGGTGCAGTGGCTCATGCATGTAATCCCAGCACTTTGGGAGGCTGAGATGGACCGATTGTTTGAGTGCAAAAGTTGGAGACCAGCCTGGACAATATGGAGAGCAAGACCCTGTCTCTATTTAAAAAAAAAAAAAAGAAAAAAAAAATTTCCTAAGTTGAGTCACAAGATTTGATTGAACTAATGCATATTCTTCTATTTCAGAGTATGCGGCTGAAATTGATTGCAAATAATACAACAGTGGAACGGAGGTTTAGCTCATGGATTGGCGGCTCCATTCTAGCCTCTTTGGTTAGTAGATGAGCTACTTTGCAAAAATGTTCTTACTGAATTATACTAAATTTAGTAAAAATACAAAAAACAATTCCAGTGCTTCATTTGTCTTTGCATTTTATAACTGTCAAATGAGCGGAGGACCTAATAGAATAACCAGTTTTATGTGTTCTGATATAACAAAATGCCTCTTTGCCTAATTAGTGGACATCTGTCAGCCTAATTTCAATGTCCCCTCTCAAACAGAGGTGGAAATATGTTAACATATGCATGCCTCTTCTAATTATACCCCCATTGGCACTGGTCAGGGCTTGTCTGGAATGTATTTAAAATCGAAACATTCCTTCTCAAGTTCTGGTCATTCCCCAGCTTACAGTGAGGTCTACAGTGAGATCTAGGAAGTCAGGAATTGGTTCTTGGAGCAAATGGTGAAGTCATGGTGCTGTGTGTAAGATGTTTCTTGGACTACCATCTGCCTTGAATAAGGAGAAAAAAATCCTTATACTTTTCTGCATCCTGGACTTACAGCATCCTCCCCCTTTATATACTGTATATATACACACCATATATACTGTTCTGGAGTATGGTTCTGGAGGAGGACAGAAATAATCGAGTACTATTTTGGGAGGTGGGACTCTTAAATGAATTATTCAAAGTTTAGGAGTTATGAAAATAAGATAGTAAAAGAAAAAAAGGCTGGTGCAGTGGTTCACACCTATAATTCCAGCACTTTAGGAGGCTGAGGCAGGAGGATCACATGTGCCCAGTAGTACAAGACCAGCCTGAGCAACATAGTATGAGGCCCCATCTCTACAACAATTACAAATTAGGCAAGGTGGCATGCCCCTGGAGTCCCAGGCTGATGTGGGAGGATCCCTTGAACCAAGAAGTTCGAGGTTGTTATGAGCTATGATCACGCCATTGCACTCCAGCCTGGCTGACAGAGCAAGACCCTCTCTCAAAAAAATAAATTAAGAAAAGCCATTTCTAGTAAAAAGTAAGGCATAATTATATAAATTTCTTTCCATTTTACAGGGTACCTTTCAACAGATGTGGATTTCCAAGCAAGAATATGAAGAAGGAGGGAAGCAGTGTGTAGAAAGAAAATGCCCTTGAGAAAGAGTTCCCAAGCTTCTACCTTCCTTTGTCACCTTACGTTTCATAGCTTTAGTATACTCAGGAAAAGAATGACCATCTTTTGTAGAATGTTTATACATTTTTGCATATTTCAATTTCCACTTAAATTTTTTAAAGCTTTAACTGGCTCTATAAATTAAGATAAGTTTGTGCTTTCCTTGAAATGCACTTATTCTTATTACAAGCATTTTTATAATTTTGTATAAATGTCTATTTTCTCTAAATATTTTGCTTTCAGTAAAATGCTTTCCAACTCTGTTTAGTATATTAATTACCAGTGGATTGGTAGAATTGCTTTTTATTGACTAGTAAAAGTTACTGCCTATGCTTTTTACCTTAGGCTTACAGAATTAAATAAAAATTAGCCATTCCAGAAATAAATTTTGGACTGTGGTGCACTGTGACTTACTACTTTAAGGACTGAATGTATTTATCATTATTTTGAAGCAGTACCCACATCCTCTTCATATCCTATTAACAACAGAGGTAAAATTATTACTCAAATTCAGTTATTGCCTTTGCTGTGGCAGTTACCATCACCTTCACCCTCTAAGGTAGCAGGCGACATTTAAAGCCTGCTTAAATGTCAGAATTCATAAAGTGGGAATTTAATCCGAACTTTATACCTGATTTTTAGAGGTAAATTAGCTTCTACCAAATTAGCTAATTAGCATGCCATATTCACACTTAGAACAACTGATTAAAGTCACTTGACTAAAAACAGAATTTCTTTATAAACCACTTAACATATTTACTCTTGTACACAGACTATTCAAGAAAAACAAAATGGTAAATTTAAGAGTTCAGACATCTTAGACAAGACTTGACTTCTGCGCTTCAGCAAGATGTGGAAACTTTTTTAGAAGAATTTTTGCTTTCTTTCTCTCTAAATTTTCCTTCCGTGCTTTGATGCGGGCTCGTTTCTCACGTTCCAGTCTAGAATAAAAAAAGCATAAAGCAATTTATTCAAAAATATTTCCTTGTTATTCAATACTATCAAAATATGCATAAATCAATTACATCAAAGCTTCAAACATGCCAGTCTCTGTATTTGGTGTGTTATATATATTATTAAACTTGAATAGTAATCACTGTAAACCTATACAAGTCAAGAGCATCTGAAACCCTATACCAACTATCCCTGTTTCTTGACTAGAAAGAATGTCCCGATCTTACGAACCTGTAACAAACTGGGACTTAATAAGCATCATCTCTTAGCAGGGTTTTACTCTGTGTATAAGGGAAATGATAAGCTAGAGTGAGTACTATTTGAAAGTAGGGAATTCCCACAAGTGTCAGGATATATCTCATGATGTCAAAAATAAATTCTTAGGCTCTGGCTAGGCTTACTATTCCTTAAATGAGTTTGTTCCCACACATCAGTATCCCAGGGCATGACACATGTGCTGCATAAATTACAACATAAATTACTTGACCTGTAGGGTCAACTTGGGAGTTGTAAAAATTGAAAATGAAAAAAAATGCTTGGATACCAAACCTCCATTTAAATTGATATCTTACAGGATATTGATCAATAGAAATAAGTTTATATAAAATACAGCAATAAAGTTACTACAAATGAGTTTTTTGGGGAAAAAAAGGCTGAATACAATATGCCAGTGCTGTGGGAGAGGTCATAGAAAATTGGGTGAAGTAAAAAATATGCACATATATAGGAAAAGTATAAAGGCTACAGTCAAAATGAGATTACCCATTCTATTCATCAGTCTTTGCTCCAACTAAATTTTGACCATTTACAAAAACAAAGACCCATCTGAAGGAATAAAGGTTTGCTATTCTTAAGAATATTAAGATGATGATGCCAAATTCTGAAGGTGAGGCTAAAAAAGGTACTTTCAAAAACAAAATCAGAATGTGTATAAAACCTGTAAAAGTGATACAGGATTGATACATTCTCATACATTATTTTAAAAGTTATGGCCAGGTGCAGTGGCTCACGTCTGTAATTCCACCACTTTGGGAGCCAAGGCAAGAGAATCACGAGGTCAAGAGATCGAGACCATCCTGGCCAACAGGATGAAACCCTGTCTCTACTAAGAATACAAAAATTAGCTGGGTGTGGTGGCATGCGCCTGTAGTCCCAGCTACTCGGGAGGCTGCAGCAGGAGAATCGCTAGAACCTGGGAGGCAGAGGTTGCAGTAAGCTGAGATCACACCACTGCACTCCAGCCTGGCAACACAGCAAGACTCCATCTCAAAAAAAAAAAAAAAAAAAAAAAAAAAGTGATTTATAACCACCCTGTATGACTAAGGGACAAAAGGATCAAACAGCACAACACTGGGCTTGGAGAAATCTCAGACTCAGATTTCTTCAGTTGCTTAGCATCTCAACTAGGTCTTAAATGTGAATAGCAAAGATTTAAAAGCTTTCGCCACAGAAGAAGCAACAGTGGAAAATGAGCAAGGAATATTTAGGAAACAAGGCAAGAGTTCTGACTTCGATGAAGGGTAGGTAGCTAAGACTTGTAGGAATGCTGGGAGAAAAAGAGTTTAAGATTTGATCCTGTAGATAAGAAGCTGCTGTATGTTTCTGAACAGCCCTGATGTGATTAAAAAAAAAAAAAAAAAAAAAGTCTTGAGGAAAATTAGCCAGGAAGCAATACTTGATTGGACTGCAGTCAAGAAGATGTGCGGTAATTCAATTTGATAAAGACAGAGACTGCACTAGGGCAAAGACAATGGGAGAAGAAAAGACAGATCCTGGAGACATTCTGCAGCAAGAATTAAATCAAGGACTGATTAAATATACAGCAATGGTGATGAAAAAGACGACTGATGGTTTAGTGCCATGCAGACTGGATGTACCACACATGAAATGAGGAGAGGTAGCTGGTTCAGTAGGGAAGATAAGTAATTTTAAATGTGATTCTAAGGTACACTAAACACTTTAAAGCCAAGCTTAAAGATACATTCCATTCCTGTTTAAATTGTTTTTAAAAGTTTGTTTTGGTATGAAAATCTTTCGTGGTGGGGGGCGGGAGAGAATCAGTTTTTGAGGAACTTGCTAAAAGTAGAATGTATTATTCAAGAGAGTTGTTAAAAGCTGTGGTTCTTGTGCTGCTACGATTTCCCTTTTAATTTTCTAGCTGCCTTCCTAGCCTTGAATTCTGACTTCTAGCACCTTTAGCCAGGAGCCTTTTGGTTCCTCTGCCCTCTCTCTGAAGCCACAGCAATGGGAATTGAGTAGCACCCTTGGCCCAGGAAACCATAAACTTGCAATACTTTTCCCTTCTAATTGCAGTTTTGGGGATTAAACTCTATCCTCTGGCTTTGTCTCCTTTTGGATATGGCCCAAGTGTTTTAAAATAGCTCTTTAAAAAAAAAAATCTTAGGTTTGTATAGTTATCAGCGAGTGGTTCATGGGAACACGCGCTCCTCTATCATAACAGAAGCCCTATGTTCTCCCTATTCAATGATAAACCTAATGCAGGAAAAATGTGCTAAAGGAAATATTTGGAGATCAACATTCTGCAGGACAACATGAGTTTACATATAATACAACAGACTTCTCTTTCTAGCCCCATTTTCTTTTCAACAGCCTTGGAATAACATGAACTCACACTGTATGCAACTGAATTATTTGGACCTTCATTTTAACATAAGAGTAGAAATTTTTCCATTTACATATAGATACAAGAATAGAAAGGCAATAAAACTTTTCAAAGGATACATATTATAATGTTAACAGTGGCTATTTCTTTTTTTTTTTTTTTTTTTTTTTCTGTTTTTTGAGACGAAATCTCACTCTGTCACCCGGGCTGGAGTGCAGTGGTGCAATCTCAGCTCACTGCAACCTCCACCTCCTAGGTTCGATCAATTCTCATGCCTCAGCCTCCTAAGTAGCTGAGATTACAGGCGCATGCTACCACGGCCGGCTAATTTTTGTATTTTTAGTAGAGACAGGGTTTCGTCATGTTGGCCAGGCTGGTCTCAAACTCCTGACCTCAACTGATCCGCCTGCCGTGGCCTCCCAAAGTGCTGGGATTACAGGTGTGAGCCAGCGCGCTTGGCTGACTGTGGCTATTTCTGATAGTGAGCTTATATGTGACTTCAATTTTCTTTTTTACCTGACTTTCCTGTTTTTTTTTCTTTTTTTTTTGAGACGGAGTTTCACTCTGTCACCTAGGCTGGAGTGCAGTGGCACGATCTCTGCTCCCTGCAAGTTCTGCCTCCTGGCTTCACACCATTCTCCTGCCTCAGCCTCCCGAGTAGCTGGAGTACAGGTGTCCACCATCATGCCCGGCTAATTTTTTGTATATTTAGTAGAGACGGGGTTTCACTGTGTTAGCTGGCATGGTCTCGATCGCCTGACCTTGTGATCCACCTACCTTGGCCTCCCAAAATGCTGGGATTACAGGTGTGAGCCACCGCACCCGGCCTGACTTTTCTATTTTTAAAAATACTTATGTAATAACAGAAATTAAAATTTAAAGAAAGCTTTCTTTATGTCTTTATGTCATATTTCTTTATGTCTTTATGACTTTCTTTATGTCATCTGGTATAAAGATAATATGTTTTATTAAGAGTACTTGTGCTCACCTGAGAAAATGGTCCACATAAGGCATGGCAAAGAATCGTTTTCTATTGTATCTTTTATTTAGGTGCCAAGGTATAACCCACTGCTTGAACTTATGCCTGCCAATAAAGCAAAAAGTTATTTGCCTTAAAGAAAACATTTAATACATTTTCACTTTCCTAATTTACCTCAAATGGGTTAGTCCAAATACAAATTAGTAGAAAATAAAACAGAAAAACGTTTAGAGAGAGATGTTGGCAAAATCTCTCTTTTCTGTGTTGGACTTAAACCCCACTGAAAGAACCTACCAAATGAGCTATGAGTTAAGTAGTATAATGTCAAGAGTACAGGGAAGGTCTCTAACCAAAATGCCTTCCCCATTCTGCCTACATTTAAAAGTCTAATGATGCTTCATCTTGGTTGTTCAGCCCAAAGGTAAATAAACCTCCTTCTGAGCGGAAGTTTATTTACCTTTGGGTTGAACAGCCTTCCCACCTAACGAGGTTTATTTACACCAGGTCTTCTTAGTTACACCTCAGCATGAATGCTGATTATCAGATCCTTTCCCAAAGGCCAACAAGACTCTGGAATATGAATGTAGGAGAAACAAGGAGGTATAAAAAATAAACTATTTTTCTCTCTCTCTTTTTTTTTTTTTTAATAAACTATTTCATAACTTGTCCTAGGGTTTATCCTGATGGCAACAGGAGCAAACTGAAACTGGTTCATGTGACATTCCCTGAGACTTTAAAAAAAAATAGTTCCAGGTTCTCAATGGGCAAAGAGGGCAGGTGTGTGTCCTGAAGTTAGCTTCGTGGATTTTATACCTTCTGAAATGATACGTGTGCATGTACATTCTTCTGAGGAAACGATCCATAACTTTCATCAAAGTCTCAAAAGGCCTTGTGATTCATGTAAGACTACGAACCACTACAATAAAGACTTATAGGTAACTGAATCATGGGAATGGGATGTCTGGGCTGGTTCTACCAGATAAAGCTACCTTCATTCATATCCCCCTTCGTTAAAGTGCAAAGGAGTGTGGGGCCTCTTCTTTTATTAGACATATCACTAATATATCTCATATGGTGCAAGTTTTTTTTTTAAAGATATTGGGCAGGGGAATGAGGCATGGATTTCCACTCTCATCTTAGAAGAGCCACAGTGTAACTACCTACCAGATGATTCTTCCAAAGATGTCTCTTCTCCAAGCACCAGGTCTAGCTCTTTCTTGACCAGTCTGAAGAAGCCTTAGGGCATCTTCTCTTTCCTGGACAACTTTATCTAATGCATCCATGGAATCTACTACCTGAAAGGAGAATAGAAAGATACAATTTCAACAATCACCTATTACAAAATTCCAAAAAAAAGAGAATGTATAAACACTCTGCTACAGAAAACTTATGATGAATATTTATACCAAAGAACCACTCTGTTAAGTATTTCCTAAAAATCTTTTTGGCACAAGTATGTCTACATGGGTGTCTAGATTACCACTTTCTATGTTTTTAAAAAAGTTTATAGTTTTATTTAACTACAAATCTATTTCCACATATTAGTTCTGTTTGGAGTGAGATACACTTACATAGATTCTTTTTGGAGACCCAATTTGATTCATGTTATTTCAAAACTCAATGAGCTAATAAGAAGTGACAACAATTTGCTATTTTCATTATATTAAAAAAGACATGTTCTGGTCTCAACTAATCATTGTGTCCCTGACATGCAGACACAGATATTGCGGCCTGCTTGGTAGCTGTTGCTACTACAGGGAAAGGAATAGCAGTCCATCTAGATAAGAATCTCCAAAGATTTATCAAGATGCAAGATGATACTATTAAACTTCTATTTAATTTTACCTCTTTAAGATTTCTATTGTTTTATAATGTATACATTGGCAGAGTTTTTTATATATTTATATATATATATATTTTTTTTTTTTGAGACAGAGTCTTGCTCTGTCAATCAGGCTGGAGTGCAGTGGTGTGATCTCGGCTCACTTATCTTAGCTCACTGCAACCTCCACCTTCCAGGTTCAAGTGATTCTCCCACCTCAGCCTCCTGAGCAGCTGGGATTACAGGCACCCGCCACCAAGCCCGGCTAATTTTTTGTATTTTTAGTAGAGATGGGATTTCACCATATTGGCCAGGCTGGTCTCGAACTCCTGGCCCCAGGTGACCTGCCCACCTTGGCCTCCCAAAGTGCTGGGATTACAGGCATAAGCCACCATACCCGGCCTTATATTTGTTTATACATAAATATTCATATGTTGGGGACTGTAATGTGAGATGGGCCAAACTTTTTCATAGTTCTAAATACATACTGAGAGCCATTTTATGTGTTATGTATGTCCCTTAAGCATCACAAGAGATATCAAATACTGCATAAGCACATTTGTTTCTCATAAGAATCCTCAAAAAAAGCACAGATTATAATCTCCCAGGTAGCTATGAGATCTGAAAAAGATGTGAAAGCCACAAATTTAGATAAATTATTTCATAATCTGTTTCATTTTTGTTTTTTGAGACAGGGTCTAGCTCTGTCACCCGGGCTGCAGTGCAGTGGCACGATCTTGGCTCACTGCAACCTCTGCCTCCTAGGCTCAAGCAGTCCTCCCACCTCAGCCTCCCAAGTAGCTGGCATTACAGGCATGCACTATCACGCCCGAATGATTTTTGTATGTTTTTGGTAGAGACAGGGTTTTGCCATGTAGCCCAGGCTGGTCTCAAACTCCCTGGCTCAAGTGATCTGTTTGCCTTGGCCTCCCAAAGTGCTGGGATTATAGACGTGAGCCATCGCACCCGGCCCATAACCTGCTCAGTTCACACTCAGCACTTCTGCTATCCTCAGCTTCACTAAATGGCTTACAGTAGCTGAATTCACATGCCTTCCTCTTAACTATTTTATTTTCTACAAAATCCCTGAAAAAGAAAAGATGACAAAGGCAAATTCTATTTTGAAGACAAGCAAACTCAGGAGGGTAAAGGGACCACACTGATAAGGGCTTTATATAAAATTCGCTAATCTTTAGAAATTTTTAGTAAATCTGGTTGTTGATTAACTACATTAAACAGTTTGCCTAAGCAAGGGTAAGACTTGAGGCTTTCAGCTGAAATCCAGTGTTAGCTCACAAAGATAGAAAGTAAATGGCTACCAAGTCCACAGAATTAACATTCAGAAGTTCATGCCAAGAAATGTGAAGGAAAATCAGAAGTATTATTTAGATATACCTTACTGTAAACAAGTCAACCTCAAAGAGCCATCTTTTCTGTAAGTTTCTCAGTGCCAAAAGCGTCAGTTGAGAGAATATAAAATTAATAGGACTGTGTTCCAGGGTAAGAGTATACACTTCTCTTTACAGCCAAGAATTAATATTACAGAGTAGCCCTTGAAACACATTTTTTAAAAAGAGACAAAAAGATACACTTGCAAAATTATAATCAATCTTTTATCATGTGCCTTGTTTCTGTATTTCAAACACAAGGGAGGTAACATAATATCATTTATTTGTGTGATAAATAGGTACTAATACTCTGAAGAGAAGCACATATAGTGAGGGTTTTTTATCTCAGATGGATAGTTAATACTTCAGTTACAATCATAGCTATTGTGCCAGAATTATACAGTTTCTCCCTTAATTTTTATATTATTCTGTAAGTAAAATTTGTCTGTAATATGCTTGAACTGGGTATCAACTCAGATCAGCCCAGTGATAAGAATTATATCCCAGTTATAATTCTTCTTTTCTGTTTTCCTTAAAATAGTTCCAAATCTTTGGTTTCTATCTTATATTGAGAAATTTTTTTACATTTTTGCTTAATAAAGTTTCCTAGTAGTATGTCACAAAACACTGGAAACACCAGATATATTTGAAGTTTGAAAAAATTACGGTCACTTTCAGCTTCTCTGGAGTAAACTTCTATTATTTTGGGTTCTACTGATTGAGAAAGTGCAGTACATATGACCTACTGGGCTGAAGTTCACCTCTGAAATATATATTTAAAGCAGATAATCCACTGTTGAAATTCAAAAGTTCTATAACAGCACCATTATAACAAAAGCTTTTTCATCAAATAATGTGTTCTTTATAAAGCATCCTTGTCAATGCACTTTCAGTTTTTTATTTATTGAGACAGGGTCTTGCTCGGTCACCGAAGCTAGAGTTTGGTGGTGCAATCGGGGCTCACTGCAGCCTCAACCTCCCAGGCCCTATCGTTTTAAAAAAGTTCAATGTCAGGAAACACAATGAAAGATTAAAGGAGATAGTCTCCAGATTAGACTAAAGAGACACATGAAAATTCGTGATGCAGAATTTTCTTTTGCCATAAAGGACACTTGGGATAACTGATAAACTCTGAATAAGATCTGTAGATTACAGCTAATAGAATTGTATCAATGTTAATTTCCTGATTTTGAAAATTACACAGTGGTTATATAAGGGAATATCCTGGTTTTTATGAAGTTTTTACAGATAAAGGGATGTCATGTGTACAACTTACTCTCAAACATTTGAGAAAAAATAATGTGTATGGAGGAGTGATGGATGAATAGAAGGATAAGGTAAATGTAGTAAAACAGAGGAATCGGGGTAAAGGGTATATGAGAATTCCTTCTTCTATTCTTGTAATTTTTCTGTGAGTCTAATATTATGTCAAAATAAAGATAAAAGAAAAAAATGTTATATAACTCAACTTTAACTACATCAGAATAACCTTCTCCATAATTAGGGCAAATCAATGAGGTTTCATTTTTTTCTTCTTTGATTTTCTCCAGGTATTGTTGTCCTTCCATCTTAAAGGCAGTGTGGTAACAATGGCTGCAACTGGTGTGAGGAAAGGAAACTAAAGTAGCTAAGGTTAGCTAGCAGCACTAATGCTATTACAAAAACTGAATTCTGTTCTCACTACTTACTATGCCACAGAAAAAAATCAATAAAGGGTTGATCTTGAAAGCAATCGAGTAAAAACATAAATCTAAATAAAAACATAAGTCTTTGGCTGGGCACGATGGCTCATATCTGTAATCCCAGCACTTTGGGAGGCCGAGACAGGCAGATCACGAGGTCAGGCGTTCAAGACCAGCCTGGCCAACATGGTGAAACCTCGTCTCTACTAAAAATACAAAAAATTAGCTAGTCGTGGTGGTGTGTGCCTGGGGTCTCAGCTACTTGGGAGGCTGAGGCAGGAGAATTGCTTGAACATGGGAGGCGGAAGTTGCAGCGAGCCGAGATCATGCTATTGCACTCCAGGCTGGGCAACAAGAGCGAAACTCTGTCTCAAAAAAAAAAAAAAAGTAACCAACCTTTCACAACATTGTAAATCTATTAAACACTACTGACTATTACACTTAAAAATGGTCAAGATAGTAAATTTTATGTTATGTGATTTTTACCACAGTATTTTAAAAAGCAGTAAAAAACTGATCTAGTTATTAATGAAATGGTTAAACCAGAACTAGGAATGTATAGTGGTATAGCTACTTAGAAAACAGTTTGGCAGTTTCTTAAAATGCTAAACATAGATTTACCATATAAGCCAGTAATTTTACTCCTAGGTATCTACTCAAATAAAAACAGTTGTCCAATTATATTTTGATGTCAGAAATCACAACTTTATTAACATAACCACAGAATAGCATCACAAGGTTTGTGTTTCTTTTGTTTAGGTATGTCTTACTGAAAGAAAGAAAAACATGCTTTAACCCTAGAGCAGGAGGCCAAGCGGCCAGAGATTGCCAATGCCAAGTCCAGAGCGGTTAGATAAGGAAGGATTGGGGAGGGCTGGAAGCTGGTATACACGATTTACAGCTAAAAGGAGTTTAGCTATGTGTTTCTTGTATTTGTTGTCAATAGATTTTTTTTTCTTATTTGTTGAATTTTAGTAAATGTGAGTAGTGCAACCATCATAGCTCATTTGGAAACATTTCCATCCCCCTAAAAGAAATCTGATACTCATCTGCAGTCATTCCTCATTTCTACCTGCAAGGTTTTTGTTGTTTTTTTTTTTTTGGTGGGGTGTAGGGGGGCAGGAGGGTCTCACTCTGTCACCCACGCTGGAGTGCAGTGGTGTGATCTTAGCTCCCTGCAACCTCCACCTCCAAGGATCAAGCGATTCTCTTGCCTTCAGCCCCCCAAAGTTGTTGGGATTACAGGCACGTACCACCATGCACAGCTAATTTTGTATTTTGGTATAAATGGGTTTCACCATGTTGCCAGGCTGGTCTCAAACTCTTGACCTCAAGTGATCTACTCACCTCGCCCTCCCCAAACCTACCTGCAACTTCTAACATAAATGTGGACAACTGTTTTTTTTTTTTTTTTTTTTGTGAGGTGGAGTCTCGCTCTGCCGCACAGGCTGGAGTACAGTGGCCGGATCTCAGCTCAGTGCAAGCTCCGCCTCGCGTTCGCGCCATTCTCCGCCCTCAGCCTCCCGAGTAGCTGGGACTACAGGCGCTCGCCACCATCCGCCCGGCTAGTTTTTTTGTATTTTTAGTAAGCGGGGTTTCACCGTGTTACCAGGATGGTCTCGATCGTCCTCGACCTCCGTGATCCCGCCCGTCTCGGCCTCCCAAAGTGCTGGGATTACACCGGCTTGAGCCACCGCACCCGGCCCTTGGTACAAC